ACTGCCCAATGATCTCCCAGACACTGTGGGGACATGGGGACACTGCTACCACCAGCAGTTCTGCTCCCTGGCAGCTGATCCCCCCAGGAATCCCCCCTTTTCCTGCTCCTGGAAGCAGCTTCGCTCCCAGTGGCGTGGTCGCACCTCTGGTGGCACGGTTCATCTGCTTTACAGCTGGTTTTGGGGTCAATTCCCTCCTTAATTCCCTTTTTTTTTCCCGAGGTTCTCCATGTCTGCACCACGATAATAATGTGGATCACAATTTTATCCCAGGAATATCCATCCTATGATATAGGAGTAACAGCATAGCTCTATTCATTAAAACAAAATCCAGCATCTCTTAAGGGAATTAGGGAAACAAAACCCCACTTCAAGTCAATAGGATCAATAGTTCTGATGTCTCTTGAGTTATTTATCTTCCTTCAGAACATCCAGAGGGAGTTTTGGGGAGGTTGGTTTGATCAGACCACAGAATGACCTTTGATCAGAACCTTGAACCTTGTTTAGATCAAAGGGATGTGCCAAGGGCACTCTCCTGGTTTGCATCAGTGTGCCTGGGATTCTTTGCCCCAAATTACTGATTGAGGGGTGACCAGAAAGGATCCCAGCACTGGGACAGTGTTCCTGGGGAACACAGCAAAGCAGGGCCCTCCCTTCCCCTCCTGCTTGCCCAATTCCAGCCCAGCTGGGGTCATTTGGGAGAGGAGGGCACTGCTGGGGTAGGGACACTCACAGGACCCCTTTCCCAGGACCACCCCAGTGCCAGATGTGTGGCATAAACAGATTTTCCTCTCCATCTGCCAGGTTGATTTACTTTGGACAGCCCTCCTAAGGACAGGAATCCAGAAGTCCAGCACAATTACAGCACACCCCAACCCTGGATGAATCCAAAAGTCCAGCACAATTACAGCACACCCCAACCCTGGATGAATCCAAAAGTCCAGCACAATTCCAGCACACCCCAACCCTGGATTAACACATGGAATCACAGAATCACCAGGTTGGAAGAGACTTTGAAGACCATGGAGTCCAACCCAGCCCTAACATCTCCTCATCAACCAAACCATGGCACTGAGTGCCAAATCCAATCCTTTTTTAAACATATCCAGGGATGGTGACTCCACCACCTCCCTGGACAGACAATTCCTGTGCCCAACCACTCTTTCAGTAAAGAACCTTTTCCTAACACCCAACCTGAATTTCCCTTGCCATCCCTGATCTCCACCCCACTCCCCAGCCCTCAGCTGAAAAACCACAGTGGGGGAAGCACCTGATGACCACGATGATCCCATCAAAGATGTTGTAGGGGTTCTTGATGTAGCCAAAGATGCCAAAGGCCAGGAGCTTCAGGAGCATCTCCAGGGCAAACATGCTGGTGAAGACGATGTTGCTGATCTCCAGGGCGTTGGTCAGCTCGTCTGGCTGTGGAGAGAAAAGCAACGTGGTCAGAGAAAATGGGAAATGTTCCTCCTGCTGGGATTTGTGCTCCCTCTGGAAAGCCATGGAGGAAAAAGAAATGTCTGAGAGAACAGCAGATGAACCTTCTGGAGTTCCCTGTGAGTTTTACTGCGATCACAGGATCCCAGCCCAGCTCTGGAGCAGCTGGAGAACAATTGTGCCCAACCCAAAATAATTCAAGCTAAGCAAAGGAGAGGGTTTGCTCACTGTTCCAAGCCAGAATTATCCAGGCTGGAATCTGCCTGGATTCACATGGATCACTCTGCTTTTACTGCACTGACTCCAGCAGAACTTTATGGGGGCTGCTATATGGGAATATAGAATATTCCTATATGTGATATAGGAATATCAGCTCTACTCATTAAAACAAAGCATTTTCTTCCAGACATCTCCTAAGAGAATTAGGGAAAAAAAATACACTTAAAGTCAGTGGGATGAATAGTTTTATGTTTTTTGAGGTACTTATCTCCCTTTGGGAATTGCCCCCAAAACCCCAAAATGGTGTTTCCTAAAAACCAGCAGATTTTAAGTGCCAGCAGCGTGGCCCTGAGTGCCAGGAGTGCATCCAGGATCTCTGAGTTTCTCTGGGTATACAAGACTTTAATGGAGCTGAAACCCAAGATTTTTCCATGCCCCTCTTCTATCCCAGCACCACATTCCCTCGGGCTTCCACACATTCCATTCCTTTCCTGGGAAGTGCAGCAAAGCCTGCCCAGCACCCAGGCTCCCAAAACAATGGGAAAAGGTGGGATTGATCTGCTCCCTCCCTAGAGCTGCTCCCTCCAACAGCACCTGGCTCTGCAATGAGCATTTCTAGTTCCAGGCCTGCTCCTTTGTGAGACAAAATGAGTCTTTTTCATTTCCTTTTCCTCAGAGTAATAACATTGTCTGGGAAAAAGTGTGATTTTCATATCTGACTCATCTCCTGGGCTGATAATAATTTCCTTTATTCCCCATCCCTCGTTAGGGGGGCAAAAATCGGCTGGTTTGGGGGATGCTGTTGCACTCCTGGAGGCTCTGTAACACATCCACACTCAGCAAATCCAACCCTTGGCAGGGGAAGGAGAGGGTGAAAGAGTTAACTGGGATTTGGGAAGAGCCCACACATCCCCTCCAGCCCGTGGGCTGCTAATGAGCCATCATTCACTGCTAAATTACTCCCTGCAATCGTCTGTCTGCTGCTCAACCATTTATCCAGGGGAAGAGCACTCAGAGCTCCAGGTTCTAATCCATAAACTCGGATTGCCATGGGATACCAGGAAGGGAAGGACTGGGAAATTTGCAGGGCCCGGTTCCCTCACATCAGGCAGAGCTCATCCATCCTATTCCTTGCCAAAACTACCAGGTGCCATGGTTTGGAATTAAAAAAATTAAAAATTAAATCAAAATTTAAAAAATATAAAATTAGCAAACCAAAGCCACTACACAAAATTAGTATTTCCACCCAGTTTCAAACTGAAACCACCACACCTGGGGAGAGGCAAAAAACCCCAACCTCATCAGAGGCTCAGGGCTGCTGTGGGATGGAATTTGACCAGCGCTCCACAGAGACTGATCCCAAAATAGCCCTGCAGGCCCCCAGGCTGTCCTGCTCCAAGCCACTCGGTGCTGGCACCGTCCCCGAGCTCTCTGTCAGGACCTGGCACGTTCAGGGTCCCCCCAGGCAGGGCTGGAGAGGGAATTCTTGACAAGGAGCAAAAGAACTCATTAAGGTCTGGTGTCCCTGCAGGCACAGCTCCTGGAGCAGGGTGTGGGTGGCAGGCTCAGGCTGGGAAATGAATGACAGCTGTCAGCAAGGAATCACACAGAATGCCAGGATCTCTGAGGTGGGAAGAGACCTCCAGGACCATTCAGTCCAGGCTGGGCCTGATCCCCACCTTGTCCCCAGCCCAGAGCACTGATTGCCACCTCCAGTTCCAATTCCTGACCAGGCTGGGGCAGTTCCAATGCCTGACCACCCTTTCCATGAAGAAATTCCTCCTGATGTCCAACCTGAGCCTCCCCTGGCACAGCTTGAGGCCATTTCCTCTCATCCTGTTGCTGATCATCTGGGAGAAGAAGCCACCACCATTCCTGACAGCCTGCTGGGGTTGTTGTGTTTTCCCTGCTGTTCCCCAGCGCTTTTTCCCTGGGAAACATGGAAAACCTGCCCACTGCCATTCCCAGAACCTCACCCTCTCCCATGCAGCAGCAGCCTCATGCACTGAAGGCAAATGTAGTGTGGGGTTCTCCAGATCCCCCTTGCTGCTGCCAAGAGTTACAATTTTATCATGAAAATTTGGCTTCCTGGTGGTCACTTCAAAATCCCCAATCCTGGAATGATGTGGATATAGAAGCACAGAATGGCCAAGGTTGGAAAAGACCTCAAAGATCATCGAGTGCATCATGATAAGACAATCTCAGAGTCATCACCAAAAAAGTCAGAGTCTGAAAAGCTGAACAACCTAAACACCATAAGGCAAACAAAAGGAATCTGGACATTGTAACTCTCTAAAATCCCAAATTCCCTTAGGCAAACCCAAGATCCTCCTGTGGAGCACTGAGCCAATCCTGAATTCATTTCCCAATTCCCTTTGACGATTTGCGCCCCTTTTTGCTTTGTCTCCAGCTCCGTGACTTTTGCCTCCTACTGAAGTGTGGGAGAAAACCTGCAGCGATCTGTCAGGGAGGGGAGAGAGGCCACGAGGGACGGGGACAGGAGAGGACGAGGAGGTGGCCTGGAACGTCAGCAGCTGCGCCCAGGAGCTGATCCAGCAGATTGGAGCGCGGCAGGACGCCTGGGAAAGGTTGACAGACGGCTGACACTGCAAAACCTCACCTCAGGGATCTTCATTATCCTTTTGGGATGCTGTCTGGAGGCAGGCAGCGCTAATGTGATGACAGGGCCAGCTGTGAGCGGGGATGTTGGAGCAGGATCCTGCCGGGACACCGGGCAGGACCCGCCGGGCACCGACAAGGACGGATGGCCCTGAACGGCGGCCAAGCGCTGCTGGGAGCTCGGGGATTGTTGGAGAGGATGCTGAGGAGCAGATGAGCCAAACATCCACTGCTCCAGCCTTCCAGGGTAATTATCTTCCCCTGACACCAACGGGAGCCGGGGAAACGGGGATATTTTTATGCCTTCTGAAATGGTTTATTGCTCGCAGCGCAAATTTCCCGCTCGCTGACGAGCACGGATCCACGAGGAGGGTCAAGGAAGGGACACTCAAGATGGATTTGGCCATTCCCCTGCAGTCAGCCACTAGGAGCCACTGTTGATTTTGTCCGAATTAAAGGCAGTCCCAGAGCAGGAATTTTTCCAGGAGTCTTTTTCTCCGGGTGAAACAAATCGTTGATTTGCTGAAACCAAAGCTTTTCATGGCGAGGATTATTTTCGTCCAACTTTCTGGCTGGGAGAAAACGAAATTGCAACAACACTTTCAAATTGCTGCAGTGTCTCGTTTTGACCTGCTCAGAGCTGGAAACTTCAGGCTTTTGGCTCCAGCAGTGGTTCTGTCATGAGATGCAGCTCGGGTTGGGATGTGTAACAAAGCTTGGCAGCAAAACGAGGCACTTCCAGGAGAGTTGGTCTAAAGTGGAGATTTTTGCTTTTTGCCAATTTTTTTCGAAGCCTCAACAATTCTGGCAGGGACAATACCTGCCCTCCATTGGGCTCCAAGCTGCACCAGGAAAAAATTCCTTTTCCAAACACAAAGAGGGTGAGCACGACCCCCTTGAGCAGCTTTGGGGATCTCCTCACCTGCTGCTGATGCAATTATTGACCTTTACATCAGTCCAGGATTCCAGGGCCAAAAGGTGACCATGTGGAATGGCAGGAGGATCCAGAATGCTCAGGAATCCCCAGAATATGGGAGAAAATTGGCAATGCTGGCCTGGGAATGGTCATGCTGGAAACTGTCACCAAAAACCAGCACAGAATGGTTTAACCCCAAGTCCCACTGACAGATCCCAGGGAACGCTCAGAAAAGTTCAGATTTCAGTCTAAACTTTAGAATTTCAGATTTAAATCGTCCTTGGGCTGCAGGGTTAAACTTCCCACTATTCGAGGGAAGGGCAGGAACTGTGTGGGATCAGTTTGGGAGGTTTCAGCAGCCTTGAGTTTAAATAAAAGCAAGCCCTGACTGCAGGCAAAACACACCCCCTCTCTGCCCATTTTCAAGGCCATTTTTATGCTGCAGAATATTCCAGAGATTCCAAACTATGCTTTTATTAGGGACAAACCTCAAACAGTTCATTCCAAGTTCAGATAAACAGACCAAAAAAAAAAAAAAAAAAAAAAGAAAATCCTTTCCTAAATAGTTTTGGTCTGAAAACCTCGGGAGCTGAGAATCTGCCACTTGTGGTTTTAGCAAGGACCCCAGAGCCTTCCAGGAACCACGGAATGCAATAAAAGAGAAAAAAGAGAAACCCATCACGGTCCAATTATCGATGGCTCCTCCAAGCAGACAATGAAGGGTGGAATTTGCAGCCTCAGATTCTCTTTGTGCACCTGAATTCCTGCAGTTCTCCAAGGACTGGGATCTCTTTGTGCCTCCTTTTCCTCTCGCCCACCTTCTCCCTCGTCTCCTTTGATTGCTGCATCCACCAGCTGCTATTTTACATAATTTAGGCTCGGTCTCAGCAGGACAACTGCACACCTTTCTGCTCTGAAACCCAGAAATAATCACACCTGCATCCCTGACAGAGGAGAAAAGGTCTCTTCCACACCACCTCCTCCCTGCTGAATGACCAGGGAAGTTTCCAGAGTTAAAAATGTTGTTTTCCTTCAGAAATCCCCCTCCAAAGCAGCCCAACTTTTCCTGAGCTGGGAGATCTGAGAGTGGCAGAGCCCCGAGGAGCAGTAAACAAACCCAGAACATTGAGTCTCATAAACATCCTTTGCACTTGGGTTGTTTTTTCTCTTAGTCCCGAGCCTAAAGCTGTCAATGGGACTTGCAGCACTTGTTTATGTTGGCTTTTCTGCT